AGCCAACAGAAAACGCTTTCCAGCCCCGCGGCAGGCGGCTGCCATTTCTGCGCACTTACTCTCTTGAGGTGGAACCAGTCTATAGCGCTAAGGTGCAACTTTAGCTCAGCTCATTTTGCGAGCGTAGGACTATATGAATTGCTGAAACACGAAGAACTGTACAGAGACATCACCACGAGATGCCACGGTTTTCGGATGCAGACGAGTAGCAACTCTCAGGTCAGAGGGCGAGAGTGTGCGGAGACGTGGACTTGCCCAGACCAGGCAGCAACCCCGGAATGGACATGGGCGAATAAAGCTAAGCAGACCTCTGAAGAGAGCCACTAGGGTTTAGAGAATGGCAGGACCAGAGAATCTGTTCAGCACGGCCATGGGAGAAACGTGATTTAGCTGCCAGTAGTAAACCCCATAAAAGAAGTCTGAGAGACCATCTTTGCCAGCCCGGGCATGAATCTCACTCGAGGATTCGTACTCACTTTACTTTAACTGCATTAGCTAACTTCTGGTCGCTTATCCGGCTTCCCCAGAAGAGGGAAGAGGTAGGAAAATTTGTTTTACTATGTGCCACATACTACACAAAGCACACTCTTATATCATCTTTTTTAGTTCTCAGCAAATTCTGAGGTTTAATAGTAGAAATTTTTCCCAGCTTGTAGATAAAACGAGGACCACATCCAAGGCTTATCAGAGGTGAAGGGGCAGATGCCCCCTTCTTCAAATTAATAACGTGGAGGTAATTAGTGTTAAGACAAAAAACATATTTGAGGTGTAGTCAGCACCAAAAATTTGCAGAAGGTGGTAAGATCAGCGTAAAACGTTTGCCTTGCATTGAGTTGGTAGATTAGGCAGTGCAAAGAACTGTAGAAGTTTAAGAAGTAGAAGTGGAAGGAACATTGGGGAGGAGAAAGGGAAAATATTAGTGCAAACATTTCAGCATCCCCAAGCCTTAAAAAATAATAGTTAAAAATGCTGTACTCATGTCTCTGTTAGCATGTGACAAGAGAGATGGAAGTTAAATGTAGTATTTTTTTTTAACTGATCATTGAACCGAAGGCCTCCCAAATGCTAGGTGCTAACCCTAACGCTCCCAGCTCTTTCATTTTATTTTTTAATTTTAGGTTGCTTTGAGGCCGATCTTGCTAAATTGACCAAGGTGGCCTACATCTCACAATCCTCCAGCCTTCTTGGCCTTTCATGTAGCTAGATTATAGGTGTGCCTTTGCTTTTGAGCAAGTTAAACTATTTAAATACCTCAATATTGTGTAAACCTATCTTTCCTACTAATCAAATATTATTAAGCATCTAATAAATGTGATAAGCTCAAGAAATCAGATGAATCCTTCAAATAAATTTGCAATTGGAAACTTAAGATATGAATGATACTCGCTGACCCTTCAATATTGCCTGGATTCCACACGGACTGGTTTGGTGAACTTCTACTTGAAGGATGTCAAATTGTCCTCAGGGTATTTTTTTCATTGACTCCTCACTAAGCTTTATCTTCTAGCCCTAAATATTAACATTAGTACCTTAAAGTAGGCAATGACTTATTCTGCTAATAAAAGGCTAGTAGGTAGTAAGAATGGACATGGCCGGCAAGTAATGTTCCTAAAACTAATCAGTTTAGCAAAGTAGTTCAGCAAAGTAGAGGATGGCTTTATTGTCAGTAGTCCTGGAGTAAATCTTAAAGCTGTACCACCAATAAAGAATTTAGGCAGGCATGAAGAGCACATCTGTATTTCCAGTACTTTGGAGACTGAGGCAGGAGGATCACATGTTCAGCCCCAGCCTGTGAATGTTAGCAACCTAGCAAGTCCCCGTCTCAAAGTAAAACATTAAAAAAAAAAAAAAAAAAAAAAAAAAAAAAAAAGGCCTAGGGATCTAATTCTGCGTGAAGGCCCTGGGTTCAATCTCCAGAACTGAAAATAAACTTCCTTTCTATGATTTTCTACTGTCTGAATACCAATTAAAAGACTAGTCTATTGTGATACAGTATGCTTTTAATTTGTGCTGCCATAAGAAAAAATTAAACGCAGAGAAATAAATTAGATGTGGTAGTGTACACTTACAAGAATCCCAACACTCTGGAAAACTGAGGCAGAAAGATAGCAAGTTCAAGCCCAGCCTGGGCAACTTAGTATGACACTGTCTCAAAATAAAGATAAAAGATAAAGGGCTAGGGATATAGCTCATTTCAAAGGCCGCAGGTTCAATCTGCAGTACTCCCACTAGAGAGGAGGGAAATAACAGTTGCATTGTTTCATTTCTAGTGGAGATAATACTGTACCTCCACCAGTCCAAGATCAGGCTCACATTGCTTATGACATCAGCATTTATAATCACTCAACTCCATGGCCACAAAATTTTAGGATACACATCTTGTTGGCAATTGTCAGTTTTGTACAGGAAATTATTGTGACTCTTCCATGTATGTAGCTGACCTGGAATGTAATTTATTGTAATAAATAGGTTGACAGTCAATGAAAATGAAAATCAGCCTTCTCTAAACTTAATACGTATAGATGAGTCCTAAACTTTGGTTCTCCCTATGACCCAACCCTATAAGCTTTGCCAGAAGAGCCAACCACCTTCCCACTTTGATATTTTAGTGATGCTGCATCTTACTCTTCTTTTCTAAAGACCAGATAGTCCCATTTCATGACTGGGTATGCACAGTGATCTCACCACTGCCTTCCATAACACCATCTCTTTTACTGTTATTTTGTAGTTCTCAAAAATTGTCATAGAGAGTTCACAACTCTAGTGTTATCTTCTAGTGTTTAAAGGTAAGGTAGTAGCTTATTAGGAAACATTATACTTTATGACTTCTACTGATGTACTTTTCAGACTTGCTGTTCCTGCACATCCAGTTTATACCATCCCCCCCTTTTTTTTCCAGTACTGAGGGTCAAACTCAGGACCTTGCACTTGCCAGGCAGGTAAAGCACTACTGAACTAAATCCATGGCACCTTTTCTCTTTTTATTTATTTATTTATTTTTTAAATTTTTTGAGACAGGGTCTCCCTTTGTAGTTAGTTCATGCTGGCCTGAACTCACTATGTAGCCCAGGTTGGCTTCAAACTCACTGCAGTCCTCCTGCCTCAGCCTCCCGAGTGCTAGGATTACAGATGTGGGCCACCATGGCTACTACAGCCTTAAACTTACTATGTAGCCATCCAAACAAACCTAGAAATTGAGATCCTCCTGACTCAGCCTCCAAAGTGCTAGTAATACAAAGGCTGTCACCAGTTTGGGCATTTTTATCTAGAAGGAAGTATTAACACCTACCTATATATAAGAACTTGTAATTTCTGATGCAATGAAATTCCATTTTCTTTTCCCATATCTCTTTTTCTAGTCTGGCTTTCCCCCTTGCTTATGAATTCCTAGTTTGATGATACTTTTATCCTGACTTTTTTAAGATACAAACTTCGGAAGTAAAGCATTAAACCTACAACTCTTTTGTAATGATGTCTATATTAAAAAAGACTAATAAATATGTACTCATATATAATCTTTGGTCTTTGGATTATCTCTCCTACTTTAGAGCAGATGATTTTTATTTTTCTTCTGTTACTATGTGAAGAGTAAAGATTGAATTCTAATTGAATAGTTGGCATTCTGCCACATTTTTTGCCCATTCAATTTATGAATTTTATTCACAATTAAAAATTCTTGAGGCTTTTGGAATGCTAGTAATCCCAAGATTATGAATCATTAAGTGCCAATGAATTAGAAATGCAGTACCTCCCCAGGGAGAATATATCATCTTGGAAAAATCTTGGTTGTTGTACCTCCAGGTTCTCTATAGTGTAAGAGAGAAAAAACTTAAAAGTGACCTCTTCTACAGGGATTTCCAAAGTGCCTAAAGCATCCTCCTGGCATCCACTCAGAACTCTCATCCAGTCATTTACAATTGCTGGATCTCTTTTATTGTGCTGGGATCTAGGTGGTCTCTGTTGCCATAATCTGCTCTCCCATAGCCTCTCTCGTCTGCTTGTCCAGCAGCTAATCTTTCTTCTGCTGGCACCCTACCCCTGCTCCTTCTGTGCTCTCAGGTAATCTCACAAGCTTCCTTTGAGTCTGGACCCTGGAGCTAGCCCTAGAGCATGCCTCCAGTCTCACTCTGCTCTCCAGCCAGAGGTCACCAGCCTCTCCACTCACCCATATTAGCTGTAGAGGTGCAGCTGCTCAGGTTTCCTCTTCTTAGTCTGCTCAGTTATGAC